AGGTTAGGGTGGATTGGCCGTGCTAAATTGTCCCGTAGTGCCCAGGGCTGTGCAGGTTAGGGTGGATTGGCCGTGCTAAATTGTCCCGCAGTGCCCAGGGCTGTGCAGGTTAGGGTGGATTGGCCATGGGAAATTGCCCCGTAGTGTAGGGATGTGTTGGTTAGGGGGGATTGGCCATGGGAAATACAGGGTTATAGGCGTGGGCCATAGTAATGGGTTCGTGTGGGGGGTTGGAGTGGACCTGATGGGCCAAATGGCCTCTATCTGCACTATGATCCTGCTGTGGAGACTGAGCAGACTCAAGATGTCATAGGGACCTGCTCCCAGTTCCTTACATTGTTGAATGGAAAGACCAGCAAAAGGAAAAACCCCTGGTTTCCCTGAATGACAGAGAACACCAAGAGGTTAGGCCAGTGTCCAGCAGAGGTGAGGACAACCTGGAAATCACCTCATTGCTGCAGCATGTTTGTATTTTTTCCCCCTTTCTCTCAAAGTGTGCCACTTGTTGGAGGAAGAGAAGGGGAGGGGATCAAAGGAGGTTTACCTACCGCCTCCCCCCCCCACCCCTCCCCCTCACCCCCCAAATAATTCAAGTTGGCGAGTGGGTCTGCAATTTGATGAGAATGCAACAACAAGGTGGCGTTGCCATCCCAAATTGAACTTGGCAATGGAGCGGAAGATGAGAAAATCAGCCATGTGAGGAGGCAGTAAGGCAGGCCAAGCCAGGGAGGTGGGATTTCAGGAGTGTCTTCATCAAAGGAGATGTGTGAGAGAGAGACTGGGAATTCCAGATCTCAGGCAGCAGAGGATGCAGGTGGAGTGCTGACAATGCACAGGAGCCTAAAGCCAGCAGAGATCGTGGAGAGTCGGAGATTTATCAGCGAGCAGGAGGTGACGGGGATGGAAAATGGGGCCTTGGTGGGGCAAAGTCTGAGGCTCTGGAGCGGCCGTGCTAAATTGCCCCACAGAGTCCAGGGATGTGCGGGCTTAGGTGGGTTAGCCATGGGAAGTGCAGGGTTAATGGGATATGATAGAGGGGCAGGATTGGGGTGGGATGCTCTTCGGAGGGCTGGTGTGGACTCGATGGGCTGAATGGCCTGCATCCGCACCACAGGGATCCTGTGATCCTGGAGGGAAGGATGTGAGTGTTGAATTAGGTACTTGAATGCTAGCATTGGGAAAGGTCTCTTCCAGACCTAGCAGCACATCCCAGCCTGCTCCAATCCTCTCCACACACCCGATCCCTGAACTCCCTCCCTTCTGTCTTCCCAGGGAATGACTTTTTTGCACAACAGCGTCATTGGTTGCCACGGAAACCTCAAATCCTCCAACTGTGTGGTTGACAGTCGGTTTGTTCTGAAGATCACAGATTATGGTCTGGCCAGCCTCCGATCAACTGCAGATTCACACAACCAGTGTCTGATGTATGCAAGTGCGTCACTGAGTGATCAGCTCACCATTATACAGTACGGTTACATGGGCAAGGCCAGGGTGATGGGAGGGTGTTATCTCCACCCCCCACTTCATTGGCAACACTCTAAATGCATTCTACACCGTCAAGCCAAGGGCACAAGCTGGATTTCGCATTCCGCAAGGAAATTCAGGAGAAATTCTTTACCCAGAGAGCAGGGAGAATGGGGACTCACTTCCATACCTTAGTGAGAGTCAGTGCATGTGTGTGGGACCCTGTACCCCAGTGAGAGTCAGTGTGTGTGTGTGGGACCCCGTATCCCAGTGAGGGTCAGTGTGTGTGTGTGGGACCCCGTACCCTAGTGAGAGTCAGTGTGTGTGTGTGTGGGACCCTGTACCCCAGTGACAGTCAGTGTGTGTGTGTGGGACCCCGTATCCCAGTGAGGGTCAGTGTGTGTGTGTGTGCGACCCCGTATCCCAGTGAGAGTCAGTGTGTGTGTGTGTGTGTGTGGGACGCTGTACCCCAGTGAGAGTCAGTGTGTGTGTGTGTGGGACCCCGTGCCCCAGTGAGAGTCTGTGTGTGTGTGTGGGACCCCGTACCCCAGTGAGAGTCAGTGTGTGTGTGTGGGACCCTGTACCCCAG